AGAGTAACAGTCCATATACATTTTTTTTTCAAGGCAGGCTTACAATGGCCTCCCAGAGTCAGATGTGGAAAACTGTGAAAGGGCTGCCTGCGCCCCAGAGATCCAAACGATCCAGTCAAAGGTGGAAGACCTGGAGCTCACCGCAGAGTCCTACTGGAACCTGAAGGGTCTCTGTCAGAAAGCTGAAGGGTGAGCTGGGAGGCTGAGGAGTCTGCATTGGAAGACAGAGGCTCCAAGCCAATGGTGAAGACTGGACCTTCTCTGAGGAAATCACAGCAAGACCTCCTCTTTCCCTTTTTATTCCATTCAGGCGGCAAGCCTATTGGCTGCCGTCAGTCACAGCTAGAGTAGGTCTTCTATGGTCATAAACCCCTTCAGCCACACCCAGAGCTGTGCTGATCATATCAGTTGGGCCTTTCCTACTCAAGTTGACACAACAGTTAACTATCACGAGGGATACCAAGTATGATCTGAGATTTGATGGAGGTTCATTTTTATTTAAAAACTCTCAGTAGTTTGACCGAACAACTTCAAAGAGACTGACCTAGCCAGATAGGTGCACTGAGAGAGATCTGGTAGGAGGAACTTGGGTGCTGGATTTCTTCTGATTCTTAAATGTTCAAGTTAACTGAATGAAGGAACCAAAGTATTGCTTATCAAAATGACCAAAATTATCTCACATGCCACAAATACAGCTTCCTGAGTGAAGCACAGACATAACAAGTGACACTGTACTTTGGAATGAGAGAGGCAGAGCTGTAAATGTCTTTGGCCCTTGGTAAACACTTAACCAGAGCCCCACACCCCACTCCCTGTTCAACAGTGGGACATACACAGCCTTGGCAGTGTCCTAGAAGTCAGGATCTGGCCAGGGAAAGGAAGGCCAACTCCTGATACACTCTAAATAACCACTCTGGTAAGAGAAGGGTACATGGGATTAAAACAAAAAGGATGCCAGAGAGAGAATCTACCAACCTCCCACTCTACAGAAAATGACACAGAGACTATGTACCGTTTTTGTCAAATCCACGGTCAGAAGAACCCAGCAATCCTAACTTGGTCAGACATTATTTCTACTATCCTTGGTTACTTCTTGGAGAACATCAACATTTACAAACACAGTCAGAATGCTCCACAGGAAAGAAGACTCATGGAATACAAGTAAAACTAGGTGCCGTGACACAACCCTGTACAAAAGAACCTAAAAACACATCTTCTGGACATCCTGGCTGCCCATGAGAGATATTCCAAGCCTGGCACACCCATGACTTCAGCTCAGCCTGATTTTCCCAACACAGACTGCTGGAAACCACAGTCCCCTGAGGACAAGAGCAGGTCCCAATCCAGTTGGAAAGAACAAACAGGATTGTAGGGACGCAGGGCATTGATTCAGTGAAATTAATCCAGCCATGCGGATAAATCGACACCCTGAAGGTTGGTTTAGTGTAGTGCTAGATGAGTGCAGCTAACACTACAACAGTTTCCAGTCTCCAGAGGCTCTCAAGGTCAAGGGCAGAAGGCAAACATCTGGGCCATGCAAATTTCTTTTGTCGGCTAAGCTCAATGGGACTGTGACTCTGAATGAGCGCTCAGCCTGCTGCCTTGGGTCACTGCTTTCTATTCCTAGCTGGGAACATTTAGAAAAAAACAGTATCACCTAAAGTACAACTTCTGTAGAATGAAGAGGCAGAGGACAGAAGGTTTGAACATAATGGTGTAAAATACCAAGATCTTCATTAAAACCAACTGACTCAAGAGAAAAACAATTAAAATGAGACAAGGCAATTTTGGCAACCTAGGCAGTACTTTGGACTTCTTTTAATTGACAATAGCTTCAGATTGCCGGTTCTTCTGTGGGATAAATCTGAACATTTGAACACAGTTTCAGCTAAAAGTCGAAACTATTTGTATCGAATTGGTATTAAGCATTGATGGTTATTTCTTTTCTGGAAAAATGCATCACTGTAAGAGAATCAATTCATTTTGTGGAAATTCAAGAACTACACAAAGATCCACTATCAGAGAATTCTATCATGTCAAAAGAAAGAACTGCTCAAAGTTTTTCTTTTGCAGTGATCTTGGTATGTTGCAACTGCTTGAATCAAGTGGTCAACACCACAGAAACATTCGCTGTGCAAATATCTGCTGTAACTACGTCATTATCAATCACGTTGCATTGTAACTGGACTCTACATATAGTATCAGTGAATGAATGAGTTGAAGGAAATCTGTCAAACATCAATCTGTAGTTGAAACTACAGTTTAATAACTGGATCCACAAGGCCATGCATTCCCTGAGTAATGACAGACTCAAATGTCATTTGTACTTCAATACACAATAGTTGTCCTGGTCACCTCTCCCATGATGATTTTCATCTTTGAAGTACCTTAACTTTGCACAGCAAATACACTGTTAAAATCACTTTGGTGAAGGACATTAAAATCATTGACCCCCCCGCAACAAGAGCCTGTAACAAGATCATAAGTACAGTACCACAGGCATTTCCTTGACCCTCCCACAGTTATTACTCCGACGAAGTCAGAAAACTGGTGACTCAGGTTAGAAGCATCCAATGTTGCCTTTACAGATGCAGTATGACATAATCAAACAGAGCCAAGGGGGCCTTTCAACACAGCTCCCTCATTGCACTTACTCTCAGGTAGTCTTTTTAATTCCTTCTGAAGCCCATAAAACCAGAACACAGGATTGACCACGAGAATGTGCATGCATGCACGCACACACATGCACACACACACACACACACACTGAACAATTCTAGCTAAGTCGTCATCTTGCCAGAACAAAGAGAATTATTATTAATTATTATTGGTACTGGGGATTGAAACAAGGAGAATTTTTGATAATGGGCTAAAGAAGCTCAGTCACTTTCAGGATTGCTCATTACTTTATATTTATTTATCAGGAGTCAACTCTAGATGAAAAGGCCTATGAGACAGGCGCTGTAACAACACACCTTAAATTTTCTCATCTGTAAAATGGACACAATGCCCTCAGAACATGAGCAAGCTGAAATAATGTAAGAAAAATGCCTGGCTCACCTGTAAGTATCTTCCCCTACCAAGCCCGTATTGCTAGGACTACACGAATATAAAATTGGGATTAAGAAAGGTACATGAGAGCTAACTCCATGGAAACACGCAGTCAGCACATACTTGGGTTCGGCCTGATACTTCTGGGTGTTTTTCAAAGCTGGGAACAGTTCTTAACTACTAATCATTATTTTTTCTCCCCGAAAGGAAAAGAGTAAATATTTCAAGAATTCAAGAATGACCCAACTTACAACGAAGTAGTCCCTTGGAGTGATGCACGACTGCTGCGCCAAGATTACTAATTTATAACAAGTCCTAGCCGCTGATTCCAATCACCTCTACCATTCTAACGACCCTCACCACGGAGGAGGCAGGGCTTATGGGTAGTGATTCTCATTTCCAGATGATAAAACGTGGAAATCCCTTCCGCACCGCGGTTCTCAATCCTGGCTACTCATTAAAATCACTTGGGGCGTTTTCAAAATTTGAGATGCCAAAATCACATCTCAAACCCCATATATAAGTAATGTTTAGGCGGGAAAGGCCGGGAAAGTTTTTTTTTTGTTGTTTTTTTTAGGTCTCTAGTGATAGTCAAAGGAAGCCAGGTTGATGACTGCTATCTAGGATCGCTGCTCCTGACCTCAGCTGACTTCTAGAGCAAGCCAAACCAAGAACGCCAACCTAGAGCGTTTCACGGCCCCAACTTCGGCGTAGAGCAGGTACAACAGGGTCCCCTACACTGGAACAGCACAGGTGCCTACGTTGGGGCACACAAGAGGACCTCATGAACCAGGGGGTTACCCAGCTCCTTAGAGTTTGCATGTCAACAAAGATAAATAAGTCATTCTTAAGGGGCTCCACTAATGCCTACATTTAATCTCTGACCACCAGAATATTTTAAATTTTTTCCTTTTTAAGAGTAAATGTCTTGGGAAAGAAAGAGAATATGCGGACAAGGGACCCTCCACACCCTCCAAGCCCTAGGGAAGCAGGGGGAAGCGCGCAGCCTAGGAAGCGGCCCGCAGGCTCCCGAGCAAGCGCAGGGCCGCTGCACCTGCCGGCCGCAC